CATTTCTCTTTCAGATGACATTCCCTTACAACAAATTTCTAGTGTACTGTTAGTCGCTCCCCCGCGAAACTCCACTCAAAACTCTCCTGAAACCTATGCGCGATACCCAAACTTTCCTACTTTAATTTTGCATAATAAACTCAAGAACTGTAAAAAAGCAAGATGGAAATCTTTCATGCTTAATGTCTCCAAATGCCAATACATATCTATGCTAAGAGACTGATGGATATTCTAAAACCTTGCCCGCACTGCAAGGGCCTGTTACATATTTGATTCTGCTTTGTATTTTCACCAGATTTACATAATGCAGACACAAAATTCATAGAAATTAAGTGGAGAGAGGTATAAGAAAGAGCAGTGAAGACTCACTTGCAAAAGACTGACTCTCTAGTAAATACTGCTCTACATTTTCTGTTATAGATGGTTCCTCTTTCCTAAAGAGGAAGGAGGAAGACAGAACGATTGTGGTGGAAGTTTACCTTTGGAACATTCTTCCACTTAAGGGCTAACAGGGTCAAATCTGCATGCACAACCTAGGTAACGAGCAAAGTAAACCATTGCGAAGAACTAACCCAACTGAAAATGACTTATTCAGACATACAATGTCCATACCTCTGCATGTAGCCTCCGAACCAGACCACTGGCCATTTGGTTGACAAAGCCGGATGCTGCTTCCCACGAGATCAAATCCTGCTTTACATCGCATTCCACAGGCAGCATTAAAGTAATTGTTGCAGACGTTCTGGACAAAGTAACCATTTTCAGGGGGCTTCAGTTCAGGGCAGTGCACAACTAAATAATTAAGCAACAACAACAGAGATGATGCCAGTTGCAGTGCAGCAAGCTACTTAAGTAAAGCAATTTTCATTTTCAGCTCAGCTTGTGTCTTGGTACTTTGGTTGTTTTGGAATGGCATTGGAAATTCTGCATGCGATTTGACATCTCTTTCGCAGTGCAAAGCCAAATAATTGGCCTAGCACTGTACAATGCATTTCAGGACTTTTTTTGCTTCTGGACAGAAATGCTTACCTTCACAGGTTTGTCCTACAGCACGATATCCCTCCCGGCATGTACAATCCTCAATGGAGGTACTTCCTGGTGGAGAAGTATGATTTTCATTGGGACATGAGATGCAAGTGCTGACTCCACCTGGTGAACCTTCAGGCTTGTATGTTCCTGGTGGACAGGCTGTTGAGCAAAAGGAAACAAGAAGGAAAACGGCAGTATTGCATTTCTTCTAAAAATAGATTGCACTACCAATTTCTTTTTCTCATTAAAAATGGAATTTCATTTTTTAATGAGCTTCACTTTTGAAGAATTGAGGAGTTCAGGGTGTCTCTATTTCACAGCTACCATGACTTTTCAAGTGTGTTGCTTTACTTTTTTTACATTCTTCCTCTACTTCTTTCCTTGTTTTTCTTCCTCATATAGCTCATGTCATTTGACGCAGGAACACTGTCTGCTCAAGGTGCTTTTAGAGTTCTCAGAGAACTGAACTAAAGCCCCCTAAACTTAGCGGAGGTCTCTCCAGTGACTTCTAGGCATTTGGGATTAAGTTCGTGATTTATCTTCTTCCAGAAAGGGCCAGTTCCAGAGATTTTCATTGATACAACCTGTGGTGATTTCATGAAAACTTCCTTGATTTACAGCTGTAAAAAATTAGTTCAGATAAAGCCCGACCACTCGAAACTACACGAAAGCTTAATGCACACGAATTCTTAGTAAAATAAGCTAGCAATCCCCCCTCCTGGCACTTGATTTACATAATATGATTTACACACTATGCTTTCTATAATGCATGAACCACAACCAATAAAGCAATTAATCAAAACAATTGCTCCCAGAAGCTTTTGCAGTCATTTATATCCTATTTAACATTTTAACTCTGTGTATGTACCTGCACAAGCCTTAAAGAGATTAAGCAGATGTCTTCAAGGGCAGGGAAATATGTAAGCAAGAAGGGATGAATAACAGCACAAATAAGACAGGGAAGATGCTCCAGTGATTACAGCTTCGGTCACGAACTAGGGTTCACACTATTCAATTCTTTGCTCTGCCACAGACTTCTTGATTGAACTTGGTCATTTGAACTTGACTGACGAGTCATTTCTGATTGAAGTTCCTAAGACAGGACTATGTACTTCTTTACAAGCAACAGGAGACAGGCTTTGACCCAGATCAAGGCCATGTAGGCAAAAACAAATTTGGCAATTCCAGGAATGGCCAATCAGGCCCAGACCAAGCCCTTGCTGCCATGACAGAGAGAGGCTGAAGGAATGGATGGAGCTGGGAAAACCACAGCAAATCCGAGGTGTGCCCTTAGCAACTATTGCCTCTCTTCTTTGCCTCTCCTTTACAGAGGAAGCATAGGGAAAAGACACCCCAAGCCTGAGACCTGCAGTTAGGTTGGATAAGTCTGAGTCTTATCTCTTTCTCTGCCTTGAACTCCATTCTCCAGGAAATTACCATAATTATCTTTACTTATTTCACAAGGAAATATTTCAAAATGGCCACATAATAATAACATTTCATTAATTTGTCTGCGAACTTTCCCAATGCCCAAAATTTCTCTTGCAGACTACTAGCAAGCCTCTCATCTCCTGCCCTCAGTACAGTCGTTTTGTACTATCTGATGTAGCTTTGCATGGTATAAAAAAACTGTACAGGGCAACAGACATTTTGGCTTTAACTCTAAGACGACTGGATCCGACTATAAATGCCCTCTGGTGTCTTCTTCCTTAAGTGAGAAGATGTGCTCTCTTCTAGGTGAAATCTCTCCTATTGAAGGGCTAGAGTCGTAATTCCTGAAGTTCAGAGACTCTGGCAATATCAGTCTTTGAGCTAGGTGTTAAAACACTCTGACACTTGTCTTATTAATGAAAAACAGCTGTCTGCTTTCTTGGCAACCACAAAAAATGAACGATCAAACAAACAAAAAACAATTACCCTCTTTTCCTCCTGCCTGTCAAGGGAGATTTGAGTTTTGTAAGTCAAATCTTGTGGATTACACCTTAAAAAATGATCCTGTGTGAACAGTTGACACTTTTTGTTCTCCAAAAAGCATGGCTTTTTGAATAGTTTTCACAGATAATATTTTTATTTTATTTTCAGGAAAACTCGCAGTTTTATTTTGAACAAAGCAATCAAAGAAGCAAGCAATTAACAAGTGATTCTGGGTGCTGTAAACTGACTTCATACACCTGTACTTTAAGCACACTTTAAAAAGATAATGACAATGCCTAAGTAATAAAGGATACAAGTTCAAGCATTTTGGGGGAAAATGGACAGAAAAGCTGAGAATTTTTCATTCTTGTTTTGTGATGTGAAAAAGCATTTGCAAGAAAACCCCTTTGCATGGTACACCTGCTCCTCTCCTCCAAGACTTTCCTCTCAGCTTATTACTGCTTCTTTCCTCTTCTGGCAGATGTTAGATCTCCCTGAAACATTCTCTCACACTTCAGATGATGACCTCTAGAAAAGCTAAAATATCCCTGGTATCACTCTGTTTCTAAAGTGTTTCCTTCTGGCACTTTGTGCAAGTCTCTGCATATCCTTGTTAAGAGTAATTTGCATCCAGCAGGAAGTGATCACGTGCATCCAAAAGGATACAGGAAAGAATGCAAGAGGTAAGCCTCGCAGGGGACCTTAGCTCTGTTGTGTGACAAAGACACCATCCATGTAAGAGAGAAATCAGTCCTTCGTATTCTGTCTGGTGTATAAAATAAGACGCCATCTAAAAAAAAAAAATTTCATTAAAAGAAAACAAAACAAAAACCCAGCTAACATCTCTCTTTCATGGAAACACCCCCTTAGATGAAGAAACAGCTGTTTTTAACTCTACTTTGAGAACTATGGGGTAAAAATGGTCACCTGTGCTATATCCTGGGCATTTTTACAAACAAACTCAATTATTTGCCTTTGGCTTTATGTTGGTCTGGCTTTGAGGAAAATTGTTCTTTCTGAAAAATATTTTCCATTAGTTCTTTCCAGTGAACCAGCAGGAGGTGAATAACACTGTTACAATGATTACTAACATTTTCATCCACTGGGAAAGACTAATTTCTCCAAACGTCCTGATATTTTTGTATGCTTGACATGCTTGCCGCTGCCTTTCAAGAAGGCTGACCCACGTTCTAGCTTGACTTTTCATGAAGAATTTTCTCCAAGCCTCAGCCTCTAAAACGCTCACTGATCCCAAACTTTCCCTAGACTTACTCAGCTACCAGACTCCACATGAGCTACACCCAGCGTTTCCACAAGATAACGATTGCAGAGTGCGTAAGATCACACAGCCTGTCCCATGAGGCTGAGACTGCTTAAGAAGGGAGCATAAGCACATTGACCTCTGCATTTCCATCACAGCCACAGCGGTTAGCCTGGCCGCAGCTTAGGTTAAAGCTGTCCACAATATGGTGTACCAGAGCGAAGTTCAAGCTGTCTGATGAGGACAGGACTAAAGCACTCTTGGCCTGGTCAGTACCTGATCCAGCTGGACTGCAGACCCGTTCTCCCCTGCTCCGGCCTGTGCTAGAGCATGACCCAAGTCTACCCACAGGGATGTGTTTAGAGGCCGGAGAGAGAGAAATCGTGGGGGAATCGCATCTGGAGAACGTTTGGCATGTATGGCCCCATGCCTGACTGATCATACAGGTATCTCTCTGTGGTATCTTCTGAGAATTAGGCAGTGCCAAATTTTTGTAATGTTCTAGCACAATCTATCTTCATCAACATGCCCCCTATACCTGCAATAATGACCACAGGGAAAGGTCATCTTCTCCAGCTCTAATCTATAAAAACAACGTAAACATGTTTTCAAGGCTTGATTCTACTTCCCAGCACTGTGACAGTGGAAAAGGGCTCAAAAGGGCGTGTGAATGAACCCCAGTGTAAATAAACATCAAGCCAGCACTGTTAAGAATGACAAAAAGCCGAAAATTTTAGAAACGGGGCAACAATTTCAACAGTATCAGCCTTTAAAGAAAGGGAGAGGGCACTCATGAAATATACACATCTGCATACACGATCTTCTCAAGAAAAGAATTAACTATTGCCAATATGACAACTGCATTGTTCTTTCCCCAGAAGCATGGGGATGAGCAAGAAAATACATTTTGTGTAATGTAATTCCCCTCCTAAGACAAGAACAGTGAATACTGAGTTATGCCAGAGGATTACTGCTTTCTACAGGAGCAAAAAGATACCCGGAAGCAGAGGTTATCATGCTAACTCAGACGAGCACAGGCCCTAAACTTCCCAAGCAAGCGAAGATGGCTCCCGTTGTAGTTGTGCTCAACAACCACCTGCCTTCACAAAATGACGGGTATTCACCAGTGATCTATGTCCAGATTCTCCTGTCTATGGTAGTGACACGGCAGCAGTCTTCCTACAAGAAATGGGAATGAAATAACACATGCTTCCATCAACACACCTCCTGCATTATCCTCCCCTGGCTTGCTCTCCTAGGGTCTACAAGTAACAGAAAAAAATTAATAAAATCTAACATCTCTTATGTTTGTGAATATTGCAGGGCTTGATGACTTCTTAGGCCATCAGTGGAACACCCTGTCTTACTTCTTTATCATAAAATATCAAAGTTGCGTGCAGGAGCGAAATCACTAAAAAGTAAATGTGATATAGGCTTGCCAGAAACAAAAACCCACAGGGCATGCATAAAAACATTTTAGTCAAGGCATATGCACGGACAGCATAGATATATGTTAAGACACAGCCTGAAGCTGAAAAACAGACACAGACAGTTAAGAAGGTCTGCACAAAATCAGAAGACAGTCTTTCAAATTCAGTAGGAATTCTTCTCCTCTTCCTGCCTACAACAATGACTAACTTAATATCCTAATCTTCAAGCAAGAAGAATTTAACACTGTAAACATCGACAACGTAAAACAAGGTATATTTCAGAGATTTCACTGAACATTTACCATGTTTTATGCAGTTTGGCTTTTTTAAAAACATGAATAATAAAACCAGCAGCAAACTTAAACCAACTGATGTTGAACACACAGGGCAGCATAAAAACTCCAGTCCGGATGTAAATAGGTAGAGATCAAGTATCAAAGAGCTTTACTCTGCAACATGGGGTCATAATTCTTCCTCCGAACATGTGAGTACAAATTTTCAAGATAAATAATTCTGCCTTAAAAATGTAAATCTTCTGAACTCCTGGGAGAGTA